CGATGCACTCCACCCGATGACCCCGGATCTCAGCCAAGGAGGTTGTTCTGCACTGGAAGACGGCGTCGTTCTCGCCTGATGTCTAGCCGAAGCTATGTCGAGGAATCCAGGTGGGGAGGACTATGAGAGAATTGAGAAGGGGTTTGGAGAAATATGCAAAAGAGAGGAGATGGAGAAGCATTGGGCTTATAACTACATCTTATGTGGTTGGTTCAATTCAAGAGAGTAAAGGGAAAGTGATGAACTACTTGAGAGATAAGATCTTGGCTGATTTTCTTGCTGGTTTATTGTTGAAGATCTCTGCTTTTGATTGTGGGACACTTAGCTCATGAATTCAGCCATTTTTATTTTTATGTCTAGTTTTTGTATGTTGTGTTGTCCATAAATAAATTCATATTTACTTTAGTGGAGTGCTAAGTTGGAATGAGTTTTTGTTCAAAGCTATACACAAAACTTGTAAGTTTTTCTCTTTGAAAAATAAAAATTTAAATCAAATTTCTTACCGTTTCATTTATAAATTTCAAGGATATCGATTAGAGTTGGCTAAGTAGATCGATTAGAATTGGCTATGTAGATTAAGTTATTTCATAGTGGTCAATATAAACTTAGCTCCGCGGTAATTGACATCTTTCTTTGATCCAGAAGTCATAAGTTTGAATCCCCACTTCACATTTTCTACCAAAAATAAGTGATTTCACAGTAATATGAATAAAGGTTCTTATAGAGCTAAATCATATGCATTAGAGTTTTTATTTTTATTTTTATGGCTGTACCTACGAAATTTCTTTATATGTAATGTAATATTAAAAAGAAAAAAAATATTTTTTTTAGTTTTCAAATTAAGGTTAATCAAATAGATGAATAACTAAACTAAAATTTGGTTTGGTTGATTTTGGTAACCAAAATATATATATATATATATATATATATATATATATATATATATATTTCCTCTCAGTACAACATATGGAGGTGGAGATCAAACCTACAACCTCTTGTTAGAGATATATGTTAATTATTGTTGAGTTACGTTCACTTTGGACAACCTGATCCTATCGTGTATGATATTGTTACATACCTAATTCGATATTAAATTATTATTGTTTTGTAAGTATAAAGATAAAATTGTTACAAAATAAGGTTTAAGAATTAAATCGTTAATTCAATAAAACATATGGAAAAACGTGTTTTTAAATTATAAAAGTTGGGTTTAAAGCCCATACTAACCACCTCCCACCTCCGTTGTAAATTAATTTTTAGAGACAGTTACAAATATGACAAAAATATTTAGTAAATTTAACAAAATAACAATCACATTTAGTTTTTTCAAATATAACACTTTTTTTATATTAAAAAAATAGAGGTCCAATTTTAAAATAACAACTTTACCCTAATAATATACATATATAATATATTTATAATATATCTTACTATATATATATATAAAACAGAGGTCTAATTTTAAAATAACAACTTTACCCTAATAATATATATTTGTAATATATTTATAATATATCTTATTATGAATATATATAGATACATACATACATATATATAATGCGATATATGTATAATATATTACTGATATGAGTGTCTGTGTAATATGTATGTGATATACATATGATATACTATTTGATATACTACTAATATGAATTCAAATTTGTGTTATATTTGAAAATTTTGAAAAACACATGACATATTTTGAAGTACATAGAACATTTTTGCTAACTGCTACAATTTTTCTAATTTTTATGTATTTTTCGATACGGAATGTTACGGATCAAGTAGTACCTGGTGAAATCACAAATATTAAAAAAAAAAGAGAGAGAAAAATTATGGACTAAAGTTGGTAATTTAACCGAACTTTTTATAGGCATATTATACAAAAGCCCCAAGATATTGGCTTGCTTCTCACTTTCACTGGTTTGTCTTGCTCAGGAGGCAACCTGAAGAAACCCTTGCTCCATCTCCGATCGCTTCATTCAGCAATATCTCGCGCTTTCTCTGAATTCCAGGTTAAATTTATTTAAGTTATCGATCTAGTTTCTTCCTTCTGTTTCTCCATTGGGAAATTTTTTGATTCAGTTGTGTAGTTTAGAATTTCATTCAGAATTTGTGAAGATGACGCAAGACGCCGAGATGAAAGAGCTTCCCGCTCCAATTTCTTCTTCTTCTGCTGCTTCAACTTCTCCCTCTGCTTTACAACGTAAGAAATTTTACCTGCATTTTCTCAACCCTTCTCGCTTCTGTGCCTTCTTTGTTCAATCCTTCGTTTTCTCGTGCCTTATTGAGTTCTTAGAGGAATTGGTATTGAAATTTGTTCACGATTTCTTTTAATCAGATTTGAAAGAGATCGTCTCGCTCATTGAGACCGGTGCTTATGCCCGGGAAGTCAGGCGAATTGTTCGAGCTATTCGTCTGACCATGGCGTTACGGCGGAAGTTGAAGGCATCTGTCCTTTCTTCATTCCTGAATTCGGCTCTCCAGCCAGGATCCGATGTGCACACACGGTTATCGTCATTTCTTCCAAAGGTAATTTGAAATTTCATCCGCATTATGCAATTCCCTGTCCTAAACATGCGTAAAATGTCACAAGCTATGTTTCTGTGTTTTGAGTTACTGTTAGGGTATGACCAATTTAGTCTTTGTTCTGGTGCTAGTGTTCTGAGTTTTGAAATTTCTGAACAATTGCTTAGGAGGATGACTACGAAATGGATGTTGACTCTGCAACACAGGCACCTGCAAAACACCCCTTACCCGAGATAGAGATATTCTGCTATTTGATTGTGCTAATATTTTTGATTGATCAGAAGAAATATGATGAGGTGATGTATTCTTCATAACTATCAAGGTTTTTCCTATTTTGCCTAAACTTTGGCTGTCCTGAACCCTTGCTGGATATTCTTCAGGCTAAGGCTTGTGCTACAGCTAGCATTGCCCGACTGAAGAACCTGAATAGGAGAACAGTTGATGTGCTAGCATCTAGGCTCTACTTCTATTACTCACTCAGCTACGAACTCACTGGCGATCTTGCTGAAATAAGAGGGTGGGTGTATAATTTAAGATTTTATTAGAGTTATTTTAGTTAGTTATATGCTTCTGGTGCGATTATGGTGGTCTTACTCCAGATTAGAGGAGTGAGGATAAATATGGAATCAAATGGCTTTATTTATACTGTATGGTATTCGTTTTGTAACATGGAGAACTTTGATTAACAGCAACCTCCTAGCCCTGCATCGCATAGCAACCTTACGCCACGATGAATTGGGTCAGGTAGTTCACTTCTTTTCAGTGCACAACACCCCATGACCATATATTATGATGGCTTATGTACTGGTAACAATGTGATGTAGGAAACCCTCCTCAACCTACTACTTCGCAACTACCTCCACTACAATCTTTATGATCAAGCAGAGAAGTTGAGGTCTAAGGCACCCCGATTTGAAGCTCACTCAAATCAGCAGGCAAGTTTAAGTGCTTTAGTTTTTTCTTTTACTTATATTTTTCTATCTTTTAAGGAAACAAGTACCTGTGGATTTATAGAAGTTCCATTAGATGTAGCATTCTTCCCTGTAGAAATGCTTGTAAGAGATATTAACTGGCTATACCTTAAATAGTTTAAGCAATGAGATCTGAAATTCTTAATTTGGCATGCTTAGTTATAAACTTCCGAAGTTCAAGAACAATTGCAGTTTCTTGGAGTGTCTCTACATGAGAAGAATCCAGGCATCATATTTTGGATTCTTAATGATGTTTTGCTCGTATAAACTTCATCAATTTTGTAAAATTTAAATTCTAATTTTTTGCCACATATCTCATAATGATTGGTTTCTATTACAGTTCTGTAGGTACCTATTTTACCTAGGCAAGATCAGGACCATTCAGCTGGAATATACAGATGCAAAGGAGTCTCTTCTACAAGCTGCTCGGAAAGCGCCTATTGCTGCTCTTGGTTTTCGAGTGCAATGCAACAAGTGGGCAATCATTGTTCGCTTGTTGTTAGGAGAAATCCCCGAGAGGACTGTTTTCATGCAGAAAGGCATGGAAACAGCTTTGAGGCCATACTTTGAACTTACAAATGTAAGTTGTATTGGTAAAATTTGGCATATTTCAGTTATTTCTTCCCTTGAGTTTCAAGTTCGAGAAGTAATCATTTCATGTCCTTTAACAATAACAAAAATATAAATAATCTTGTTTTTAAATAAAGGTGACGTTGGTGATGACTTAGAGAAATCCAATTGCCAATACTGCTGCATCATTTTTAGTTGTAGAATATTATTAACATGTTTGCTCTGCGATTACCACCGTTCCCTCACGCATCTTTCCTTTCTTCATCCTTTTTTTCTGTTAAAAAAATTAAATTACATGCACCGTTGAGTTGGCCTTTTACAATGAATTATAGTGAATTCACTTGGCAATAATGAATCGAGATAAGGGCTATGGGATTCCTGTCTAGTCTGCTATGTTTATCAACAATGCTCGTCCATTTTTTTCAGGCTGTGAGAATTGGTGACTTGGAGCTTTTCAGAACTGTTGCCGAGAAATTCTCTAGTACTTTCAGCTCAGACCGGACCAACAATTTGATTGTGAGGCTGCGACATAACGTAATTAGAACTGCGCTTCGCAACATTAGCATTTCTTATTCGCGCATTTCTCTAGCTGATGTTGCTAAAAAGCTGAGATTGGACTCTGAAAATCCTGTTGCTGATGCTGAGAGTATCGTCTCCAAGGCAATCCGAGATGGAGCAATCGACGCCACAGTTGATCATGCCAACGGATGGATGGTATCCAAGGAGACTGGTGACATCTACTCTACCAATGAACCTCAAATGGCCTTCAACTCCAGGATTGCATTTTGCCTTAATATGCATAACGAGGCAGTTCGTGCTCTTAGGTTTCCACCAAATTCTCACAAAGAAAAAGAAAGTGCTGAGAAGAGGAGAGAAAGACAGCAGCAGGAGCAAGAACTTGCTAAGCATATTGCTGAGGAAGACGATGACGACTTTTAATTGATTCAATCTGAGACGCGATACGAGTCGAGTTGTCGGTGCGTTAAAGATGGTACGACTTTATTCAGAAATGCTAGGCAGAAAATTTCTTGGCCTTTTATCTTTATCATGAATTTGTTGTGTTTTAATGCTGGCTTGCTATTTCATCCATCGAACGATCTTTAGATATTATTTACTCCAACTCTAAATTGTAACTCTAAATTATCTTGTTATAGTTGATATTTATGACTCTTTTATTTTCCATTCGGCTAGTGAATGGTAACATAAATCTAGGTTACATCAACTTTTTTTTTTTTTAGTACAGTAGGTTACATCAACTTTCAAAACCAATTAAATTAAATCTTCATGTTGGGATATATATTAATTTTTACAAATTATTAATTTAAAGTTGCATGAGCCTGAATTTATAGAACTCGTTTAATTGGACACAATCTATACACAAATTTGGTCTAACCAATTCAACTTCATTGTTCATAAATCCAAATTTACTAAAAACATGGGGCCAAAATACCTCTTCACTCTCACCTTAATTCTTACCAATGGGGTGAAAATTTCAACTCAAAAAATAATTTAAGTTCATATATATATATATATTAAATACAACATAATTCAGCTTTTTTAAGATTTTAGTCTCTACCTTCAATTAAAAAAAAAGTACATTTCTTGACGGACCTAAGAATGTTGTCTTTTTTTTTTTTTTTTTTGGAGGACCTAAGAATAGTTGAAGTGAGAGAAAATTTTATACACTGCTCACGCCAAATCAAAAAAGAATCAAATACATTTCAAAGTAATGGCGTAAAACTTGATCCATTAATCCTTTTACTTTTCTAGCAATATGGAAGTATTTAAGTAATTATCGTTCTATAAGACCACAATACTATTCAATTCTATGAATCGATTCATGATATTTTAATAAGATTGATCATTGGCAAACAAAATCCAATTATTGACATCCTCATGTTACAATATCATAAAAAAGAAACAGTAAATGTCAATAAAAAAAGTTGGATCGTTTTTCGAAAAACTAGGAAAAAAGGAGAAAAAAGGCACAGCCGTTGGTTTCATCTTTCATAGTACAGCTCAAGAAAAAATATTTCAAATATTTCCAGAACAAGAAGAAAGATGAGTCGACGCAGCAGTAAATGAAGTGTGGCAGTCGATGACTTCAGACTTGGTATTAAAATTTCAGTTCTACACGTCAGTGGTTGCCTGGTGGGTCACTCAAACAGCTGAACTGAACCCAAACGACTTGACGATGGTGCTCACACTTTCTGCAAAAGTTTTGGAAGTAATTTTCTTACCTGGCACGTGAAATGGATTTGAAACTGCATCCACGTATGCAGCATGAAATCTCCTGAAAAACTGGAAAATTTTGAGGAATACATCAGATGTCATATTATAGAGTTTGTGTGTATGCAACATAGTGTATAAATGCGCAAGGCAGAACCAAAAATTGCCTAAATTTGTGATTCTTTTTCAAAAGAATTGATGATTGCAGACAATATAAAGTATGACAGAAAAAAGAGTGAATGTATTACGAGAACAAAGTGATCTCACTTGGGAAGTAGATTCTTACAAAGCTAACTAAGAGGGCATTTTGGCTTATGGCTAGTGTTGGATAGCGTAAGACCTTACGGACTCTGCTCCACATGGCAGAAGAGGAGAGAACTGGGAGAGGTCGAGGAATAATACCTTGGACCTCAACATGAACCCAACATGATCTCAGCAATAGCCAAGGCCGAGCCGAGGTATTTTGAAGTAAACTTCAATCAACCATCTGATAGGATTGCTATCCATAGGATCGATTAGGGTTATTATTGGGGCATCAAGGGTATATTAGTAATTGGATTGGGGTTTGACTATAAATACAGTGAGGGGGTAAGAATGAAAGTAGACAATCAGTTACTGGTTAGTATGGTTTGGGCGAGAGTAAGAATACTCAAGAGAGGGAGGAGGATCCAAGTACCTCGAATTACTTGGTAGTTATTGTAGTTATATTTTTTATATTTCAATATATCTTTAGTGTTTGGGTTCTATCACCATCACTCCACTATTGAGGAACGTATGTTGGAATGCCCACGGTAGTGTTTGATAACCACTAAGTGGACCCCACTTGTCGACGGTATAAATTGGAAACTTGTCTATGTATCCAGGTATGTGTGACTGATTGCTCGTCTAGAAAACAACTTGGATAGTACCAAATTGAGCGTCACAACTTGCTTTCTCTCTTTTGTAGGTTATATGCTCACCTTAGAAGGTCATCGGTTTTCACACAAACAGTTAGATTCTTACAAAACTACAGAGAAGTTGAACCTGGCTATGGTATATGTGTTTGCTTATCCTAAGATTGCAAGTTCCATAGACTACATAAACTCGTACTTCTAAAAGCTCATCTACATAAGCTATACAAATTATCAAACTTCCTAAGGTCAGTTCTCACAATCCAAACAGAGGCACACAATACTAGACTGCCTAATCCAAACTATGCAAGCTCAAACATATCAAATTCATGAACCAAAGCTCTCTAAAGGAGCAAGGGTTGTTTAAGAAAAATCAAGCAACACTTGAATATAGTGCAAATGATCAGAGACAACGATGCTTTCTTAGTATTTGAAGAAAAGACAAAAATCAATGATTGCACACTATTCTGATATTCTGTTGATATGTTGTGTTCTAAGAAGCATATCTGAGATTTCAATGGACATCAATTCTGGTTTCAGCTGGTTGTGAAGGGAGAATAAATATTAATGGTAGTGCACCTCTCCAGAATCTGTCATGTTCACATCAGTATCTTAGTAAAACAGCTACCCTGTTAGGAGTTTTATCATTGAAAGCAGAAATGTGAAGACTGAATACACGGAGATATTATGGTGTCTGCACCACAAACATCTTGACAGTGGCAATACCCTGAAATGTCTCATCTTCATATCCTATTGCTATGATGCATATTTAGAGATCAAAAGGCATGTGGATTTCGAGCATGAGAAGCTTGTTTGAGATACCAATGGATATCAATCATGGTTTCAGCTGGCCGTGAAGGAAGAATAAACATTTATGATAGGAATCCTCCCTAGGAATATGTCACGTTTACATCACTACTAAAGCAGCTAGCTTGAGAAAGGTTACACCTTATCGTCGAAAGAAAAATTTGTAAAAGACAACTGAATAAGAGGAGGAACTCATTTAAATGTTTGTATCACTAACATCTTCACAGATAGACAACACCCTGAAAATTTTCATCTTCAGAGTTACCTAAAAGTAACAGTTCACATAGAAAAATTAAAGATCTGTACTACTGTAGAAAGTTTGATTATCGTAATTGCAAATTCACAATGTACTCACACTTCTCACATCGGCATCTCTGACATCTAGATCTGTGGTCACCACAATAAACTTCACTTTGGTATTAGTCAAATAGCCATACCTGGACATGATTTCAATCATACAGAATCATTTAAGATCCACTCCAATAGAAACTGAAAAGAACACATTCTGATCCTACTTGATGTGGAAATAGCCCACACTGCTTTGTCCACAGAAACAATGATACTCACACTTTATAATTTTCAGTCGGATAAAGAAGACCGAGAAAGGTCTCGTTCAAGGTTGGTCCAGATTTTCTCGGATTGTTCACTGGCAGCAACACCATAGACAATATCAGAGGGAAGACTTTAGCTAGGTCCGGAAGACACTTAAACTTATTGAAGCTTGGAAATTATCGCAAAAACATATCCAAATCATAAACCCTACTAACTGAGTGCAACACCAGGCGCCGTTCCTAGATCTGATCGTCCTTCAACTTCGTGAAAAATACAATTAATTACAAGCAATGAAACACTAAGGCAAACAAGAAATCTACCTCGCTCTTCGATGACATCCAGCGAACAATGGACAATGTGATGGAGCTTGAGAGCATCATCGGCCTCCGTGAAGCTTTGAATGTACAGCGGGTTGTTCTGTTTGCTCCGGCCGAATCGAAAAAGGATCACAAATCTTTTCTTATTAACATATATGAAATTTCTTTGGGTTCCATAAAATATGGTGTTCGTGGAGGTCGCACCTGGTGGCCGACGACGGCGACGCAGACGATCATCTTCGACGGCGGCGGGTTTTTCTTCTGCGGGATTGGGCCACTCGGGCAATGCGAATTTCACGGTTGCGTTGCCGCGAAGAAGGTCGGATCTTCCAAAAGGGGTGAAGAAAAATTAAAAGAAAAAGAAAAATCTTCCTCGAGAAAATGGCTATCTTACCCCTACGTGGCCTAGTAGATGATTGAGTTTTGTTAAATACAAGTTTATGTAACTAATATGTTAATTTGTGGGATTTTTGTAGTATTGCCGGGGATGGGGATGCGACTGCCACTGATTAAGATATCTTAACTATTGAGATAAGTTAGGATGACGTTAATTTATGGAATTTGTGAACATAGCTTCTTGATAATCCAGATGATTATTCATTATTTTAAGATCTAAAGTTCAAATTCTCATACTCACATTTATTGTAAAAAAGATAGATATCATATAATTTTTTGAAAATTTTTAATTTTGTAATAGAATTTGCCTTCAAAGACAATCCTATTAGTCAGGGTACGAGGTTTTGTGGTGTCACTTCTATGGATTTAAATTTGGTGGCAGGTGCATATACTTCTATTGTAAGAATAAAAATCTAAAATGCTATATAAAAAGAATGGCGTGACAAGAAACTTATAGCATGATATTTGCCAACTCACTAACAAACATAATCTTATTTTCTATTTCGTAATACTCTTGCTCTTTGAGAGCAAACAAATTGACTTATAAAGGTATTAGAATTATGATAGATTAAGGGGCATGAATAGTAAGTCATTACTAAAGCCCTTGCATGCCACTTTCTTAAACCTAAACTTCTTAAATATTATTTTTTTATTCTTAAACCTTTCACTCAAACACTTATATTTGATTTAAGATGTGGAATTCAGTATAATTTATCTTATAACAAAAAAGTTTATAAACTATAATTATTTTTCTTTTTTAATTTTGAGTTCAACCTATAAGATGAATTTTTAATACGAGTAATTGATTGAGCTGTTTAAGTGGACTAAAGTTTCCAATTATCGTCGAATTAATACAGAGGAACAAGATGCCTTATGGACATTAAACTGGTTGGATTCCACGTGTAATGCTAACCGCAGCAAAAAGTTTAACATTAGAATGCAGTTTTTAGGGAAAAAATTTGCTCCTATTACAGTATTTCTTGTGGTAATTTCTGAAGACTATAGGCGATCGAATAGTTGAGGATTTTCATAATCCTTTGAATCGTTAATTTTCATGGCTCAAACGGAAATGTAAGTGATTCATCTTCTTTTACGATTTCCAGATTCACGACATTCTTGATTGGTATCTAATCTTATTTGATTTTCGTTTCTGCAATCTTTCTATTGAATTGGTTATCCTGCTCGCTGAATCTTTTGCTTTTCTCATTAACTTAACATATTGCCGATATTGATACTCTTACTTTTCCTTTCTGCGAATTTGTGTTATTGTGTAGACGGTTAAAGTTAATTTAGTCTCCACGTTCTGCTCCTGATGTAAATTAGTTGGAGTTTTCATCTGCTGCAATAATCTAATTTCAAACTCGATACCATATGATTATGGAGCTTGCGTACTTATCATTTTTTATGGTGGATGTACTACAAAGTACAACAGAACAAATAAATATAGTCCCTATATATTTGGTGGATGCACTACAAAGTACGAGAGGAAACAAATAAATATAGTCCCTAGATATCTGATGCTTTTTCTTAAGTATAAAGAGTGAAAAAGAACTGGGAATTAATCATCGAGAAGGTGGAGGCGTGAATTGATGGCTTTTTCTTGAAATGGATGCTGGATCTGGTGCTGGTTCTGGGAGGGGTGGGGGTGGGTCTGGTAGTCCATGCGACTTCCCATGCAATCTGGTGCCTTGGCCATTTCAGACCATCCTCTACATGGGTACTTCGTTATCTCCAGCAAGGAGTCTCTTACATCATCCGCTTGGACCATTTCACTGTCCTTTTTCTGCCAACCAAATATTACTTGAGAAAGTCATTATTGAATCATTGTATCACATCTGATAAGAGATTCGGTGAACTTGAGAAGAACAAGTTCTGTGATCAATTTGATTAGTTTGAATGACTCACTCTATTGTTTTATTTCTTGGATTTGAAGAAAGTTAGCAAATGTTTGACAGAAAAAGTTTGCTTACCCCAACTTTAAAAACATTGGATACGAGGCCTCTGTAGCTGGTCACATTTGCATTTGTTACTTCCAAGCCTAGAGCATTCAAGGCCTCCATTAACCTCATAAACCCACCTCGCTTGTTCTCACAGAAAACCTTTACAAAGAACTCGTTCCCGTCAATCTGAGCCACTTCCACTTGCGGCTGCAATCATTTGATTTAACTTTTGTTTCAGAATCTGAAGGTGCATTATAAAAGCAAACATACATGTATATGCACACAGTTTCTTTTTCCTACGATTTATATATACCTCCATTTGTTGTGTCCTGTCATTGTTAGTACCTTCAGTGTCCTGATGATTTTGCTTCAAGAGGCTTCCACTTCCTAGTACTCCCATATGGTAACTGTTTTGAGCTTTATCATTTTGGCTCAGCAACTCAGGCAGGTGGACACTATTTTGGTTTCCATTGTTGCCTGTAATTGCAGTCTTACCATTTTCGTCATCTGAATGTTCTTCCAGTTCATCTTGGAGTTCCTTTACTTGCTTTTGCAAGTCCTTCACAAAATCGATTGCATCACCAAGTATTGAAGCTTTGTCCATCTGAGAAATCCACAGAAGCTATTCATTAGAAGATAATGTAAACATGAGTTAAGTAAATCAAGGTACAGTTAATTTTGGGTTATATTTAGTTCTTATGGATTATATAAGAGGAGAAAAGGCTCATCGATTTAAGCGCAAGGAAGCTGTTTTTATTTTCCTTGATAATTTCCAGTGGTTTAGTGCTGATCACCTTAGAAATTTTGGGAACCAATGCTCGTAGGTTATACAGTCTCTCATTAAGTTTCTTTCTTCTCTTCCTCTCAGCAACGAGGTTCTTTGATTGAGGACCCTGTCCGGTCCTGCGACGGTACTTCGCAAGTGCATCATCTTCATCATCAATCTGATCGCTGCAATCAGAGATTGAATCGGACCTTCCATTTTCATGTTTGACCAAGTCCTTTTCTTCCCCTTGCTTTTCTTTACATTCAGTGTTCTCCTTGGATTGCATATGATTGTTTGATGTGTTGTTCATTAATGACCTCTGCATCATATCCACCTCTTGGAACTCATTTTCAGCTGAAAACTTGTAAGGGTTTCCCTGCTTATCAGTAAGGAATGAATCCTGTGAACATTCATGGAAGATTTCATTCTTGTTTCTGTTTTCTGAGCTGTAATTGAACTGTTGCAAGAAGTTCATAGGAGAACTGCAGAGGCGGATTCTATCTAATGAGATGTCATAGCCAACATTTGCATTTTCTAATGTTGGTTCGGCTGAACCTGGTGCCTCAAATTGATTATCAGGATCTTTTAGAACAACATTCTGATCTGCTAGAAATGGCTTTGATTGGATTTCATTTGTCGCGTTTACATTAACAGAGAAACTCGTATCCATGTTGCTTGAATTCATAATGGCTTCTTGCTCAATCGAAATGCTGCATTGAGTTGTAACAAAATCTATGACATGCTGATCTTCAGTTGCCTGTAAGAACAGACAGAAGCTATCTTAAAATAAAATAGAAAGACCGTTCTGCTATCCTTCAACCCAAATAAAGAAACATATGTTACTGCAGTTTAGTTATTTCTGAATTCAACCCCTTTTAAAAGAATGAGATTACTAGAAGTGTCTATACATGTCTAGCAACGAATAGCTCGACTAGTCCAAATGGAAATGGAATTAATACCCTGGTCCCCACTGTTTCCTGTAAAGAAAATGAAGAAAGTGTTAGCTGTTTGTTGCAATATGCTGTAGTATGGGGTTGTCTCCCCTGCGAATGCTACTCACTTCCAGCGCTTTTGAATCCGTGCCATTGGAGAAGAGTAGCCACTTGGGTTCGTTTGATAACAATGCCTGTATATAAATCCTGTTCAAGAGAGAACAATTGAGAGAGAGAGAGAGAGAGAGAGAGAGAGAGAGAGAGAGAGAGGAGAAGGGGGATATGTGGAGATGATAAATATGAATGGAATACCCAGAATTTAGAGGCACTGAATATGGCAGCTGAGCAAGAAGATCGCAAGAATTGGCTCTTGGGTGTGGACATACGGTGTCCCTACATGGAATAACTTGAGAAACAGGAAATACAAGTTCTTCTCCACCATTTTGATTGTTCTCAGTTCCAGCACAACAGCAGTCCATCCATTCAATGCACCTGAAACAGAACAAAAGGCTTTAGAGTGAGAGAGAGAGAGAGAGAAATGGGTTGGACCCTGAAACAGAATTAAGAACTTGGGAGTAGTGACAAACAGAGAAACATGGTAGGTTGGGGGAGAGAAAGTGTGTATCTGTACCTCTGATCTTGGCTCAATTTCCAGAGAACACAATAATCCCAGCCTTTACAACCCACGAGGGGTCTCAACCTCTCCATAAGGTTTTGAATAATGACAAAGATGATTAATGCCACCTGCATTGATTGATTGAAGCCAGAGGATAATTGGAAGTAGTATTGGAACATGACAAAAATATCTCAACAATAGATAGATTTTGTCAGAGAATCATACCCAAAAAGATTATGTACAAGAAAGTATAAATTTTTTATCTAGTGTACAGTATTGAATGAAACAGTTTCCTCAAGTACATTCACAGGCACACAGAGATTGCTAAGGACCTGGAAGACGACAGTAAGAATCCCCTCTGAATTGCCCCCAGAACCTTTAAGGATGATGGAAGGAAAAAAACAAAGAAACCGAAGGCAGAGAAAACAAAGATAAAGATTTCATAAACACTTCAATTGATAGCAATTGTTAACTGCTGGACCATGGCAATGGCATCATACCCCAAAGCTTATCAGACAAAAACCCACCTCAGTTTGAATATTGATAAGCCATCACACATCAGACTAAGAACCCACCAAATTTCCACCCTTTTATTGGCATTTTTTGAGAAACAGGGAGAGAATACAAACAATCAGCTGAAGTAGTACTTTTTGTTCTACAATTGTTTTCTTTTTATATAATTGGTTGTTAGTTGAAATTTCGGTAGGTGAACTGCAGTCCATGCATGAGAGAGAGAGAGGGAGAGGATTTCTCTCTCCTTTCAGTTTCTTAAAAGTAAGTAAGATGGATTAAGGGAAGAGGGAGAAAAGAAAAATTATATATGAGTTGGTAATGATGGGAGGAACAGATTGCATGAGCTAAGATACCCTAACTGCCTTGCTAAGCTTTTTTTTATGCATTCTTTTTAGTTTTTGCATCTTCTTTCATGACTCTCAACTACTCTCTATTAGCTTGACAGAACTGAATGCTAACATGTCATCATCGTTAATGATATGCAAACAATTTTTAGTACTCTCAAACATGCTTACATCTACATGCTTTATATATCAAAGTATGCACACACATTCACACGTATATATGTATTTCTTTTGAACTGTGAGCTTTTATCTGAGGTCATGGACTTTGATTGAGAATTTTTTATGTGATTTTTTAGTGTGTGAAATTTTATATTTAATCCCAACTTTGTTGTTGGAGGAGGCATAAATTCATATTAATATGATTTTAAATGCATTGGAAGTACAAACAGGAACAGATACAATCAAAGTAGCCCATAAGGCCATGGCCCATGTGCCCCTTGAGCCTTTCAGCCTTATGGGGCCTGATTGTTTGAGCTCAGACTTGCAAATCTTCTTTTTAGATAGTTTTATTGTTTTCATTGAGTTTAAACTTTGTTCGGATCGCTTTTGCTCCTTAAATAAGAGGGAAAAAGGAATGTTGATCCTATCCTACCCATGTAAATAATGGGATTTTGTCTTGAATTAAGCTAATTTAATCTAGGGGGGAAAAATATAACTTTTACCCTGAACTTGATGAGGTGGATTAACTTTTAGGTTAAATTATAAGTTTAATTCATGAACTTTTAAGTTTGTGTCAAATACTTCGTTTAGATTTTAAAAGGTATCTAATAGGTTTCTAAACTTTCAATTTTGTATCTACTAAGTCCCTAAACTTTAAGTGTCTAGTAGGTCTCCTAACTAAAATTGAAAGTTTAAGATCTTATTAGCATAAATTCAATGTCATTTCTCATAAATTCATCCATTAATTTAAAAAAGTTAGGAATATTTTAGAACCTATTATACACAAAATTGAAAGTTTAGATACTTATTAGAAATTTTGAACGTTTAAGGACCAATTAGAAACAAAATTAGACACTCTTTGGAGTTTAGAAGTCTATTAACCACAAACCTAAAAAGTTTAGGGGCTAAACTTGTAATTTAACATAATTTTTATTTTGGATAGGATTATTGAAGTTTTACTTTAAAATTTCCGTTTAATCAAATTTCACCTAGATAAATGTTGCAATGAAACATTACCTTGTGATTTGTTTTCGTTTGAATGGTCGTTGAAAAAAAATATTCTTAAACATGTGTCGAATACAGAATTGATAGGATTTCAAAGAACAAACTGACACTAAGGTTTGAATTATCGGTTTTGTGAATTGATCAAACTTAATTTTATGGTAAGTTTGATTTCGTTAGAATAAGCGAGTTATTGGAACCTTTTGCCTTACTTTTAAGCTTGATTTTGTTAAAATTAGTGATTTATTGGAGCCTTTTGCCTTACTTTTTTGTTAAAATGAGTAGCTGAATTAGTGAAGTTAAACAAAGAAAAAAATTGCAAAGTTCAATTTGATGAAATATTTAAAATTTAGAATGAAAATCGATAGAATTCGTCAAGTTTATGAGTAAAAAATTGATTTTTCTTTTCTCAATAATTAACATAAGAAATCAAATTTCCACCCGTGAAAGAAACATTCTATTGATGTATTCGAGTTTAGTTTAACTTTTCTCTAATTTAAAGATCATTAAATTAGAGTACTTTAATTTATATCGATATTTATTGCGCTGTACCTTTTTTTTCTTTTAAATATTTTTAGAATATCGCGCTGGAGTTATCTCGATTGTAAATTTCATCCATAATCAAATTGATTAATAATTTTTATAAAGTTTCATTCTATTTATTAATTTAGTTACTTACTACTACTATTTTGATCTTTCTTCCAAAAAAAAGTTACTTTTTTTATACTAGTGTATTACCACTAATATTTTTTATTTAATTTTTCACTAACATAAATGAAAAAATATAAGTGTTTATTGAAAAAAATATATCAAAAGTAAAAAAAAATTAAAAATTGATAGAATTAATATAACTTCAGTCTAATGTTGAAAGAAAAATGTAATGCACCCTTGGGTGTTGGCGTAGTGGCAAGAGGCTTGGATGTTGACACCCAAGATCAAAGTTTGAGCCTTCCTGTGTCCAAAATAAAAAGATAACAAAAAAAAATCTACTTTTGTATTTTCGAAAAAATTATAAACCTTTTGAAATTTAAACTCAATTAAAGTTTATAGTTAATTATGACTAAAGATAAAATATTTCAAGAAAGTGAAATGACAAAATTTTTCAGATTCAACATTTTTAAAATTCCATACATTTATTAGGTACATTTAAATTTTAATTTATTCAAAGTTAATTTTCTTACCATTATATTTTTCTTAATAAAAATATGATTGGTTTTTCTTAGCATCGTGAACTTATCAATTTAAAAAAAAAAAACTCATAACTTTACATTTAAAAGTTAATTTTACTTGTTTTATTTGTGTATTTAATTAATAAATAGAATAATTACTATAATAAAATTTTATTATAATATAATACTTCTATAATATCTATTTTTAGTCCACTTTTAGTTGTTATTTTAATTTTAATGAGTTATAATAAATTTTAATTAACGGGAAATATACTTTAGAGTTCTAATTTAACAGATTTCTAAATTAATGCACATAATATTTATAAAAAAAATATTTCTATGCATTATAAAATATCATTTTTTAGCTACTTTTAATTTAAAAGTTACGTTACTAAAAATATGTTTTCTTTTAAGAAAATTCACAAAATAAAAATAATAGCATTATTGCTTAATGTTAGTAGGAGAGAAAATTGATGAATAATTATACTACATAGATCAATTTTAAAACTTAGTAATAATTAAATTTCAAAATTTTTGAATAAAAAATAGTAACAATACTAATGTTAAAATAATTTATAGCATTTAATCTGAGGATTCAATACTTGAATATCTCAAAGATTGTCCACTACTCATAAATAACATTATCTTAAACTCTTATAAATCGAGCTAAATTATTGTAGGAGAAAGTAGAGACGAACTCATATATATATATACACATATGTAGATGTAGAAGATGGATATAAGTTGAAAAACTGTTGAGGTTCCAATACTTTTTGAATTTCATTAATTCCAATTGAAGTAAAATCATAAATGGTTAGAAATACATAAACATAACTTTTCATATTCATAACTTTCACTTTTTTATTAATCAAAGTTATTAAAATAAAAAAATGGCATGCTTGATAATTTAAAATTTGATAAATAGGTATAATGACCCGAAAATATTCTTCAAGATCATTCCTTTCTAATATTGTATAGATATAGATGTATCAATTTGTCTCCAACATTAATGAAAATAATATGCAAGGCATGCGGAAATAAATATCAATTTTTTTTTAAAGTAACATGGTTGCATATCATCTATTTAAGAATGATATGTGTCACATCTGTAGGTCGTCTCTTTAAGAGTTGACCTATTACTTTGACTAAGTCATCTTTTGACAACCTAATGTCGGAAGAATTTATGAAATTTTTTTGTTTTTTTAATTAATTTGAAGTTGAGAAATTTTTAAAATAAGTTTAAAAATAGAAACATTTAAAATTAAAATCTATTGAATTTGTGTATCAAACTTTGTGAAACTATACAAAGTACTAATTATGATTACATTTATGCATAACATATAATATTTTCAAAACAAGATCATGATTGAAGATGCTCAAACTTATATCTTCCTATGGGTAAATCTTACGAACAAATAAACACATATTTAAACTTTAGTTAAATTATATATATTCCATCGAATACGGCTTAGTCCTTAAACTTCAAAAAAGTTTCAATTATATCTTTTTTTTCCGGAAATACGTTTTAATTATATCTTTAAATTTTAAACTTTAAATTATATTTATATTTAGTTTTTTTCACAAACACCATTGATAAAATGCAATCGTACCTAACATGTCTATTAATTTGTCAAATTGTCAATAGATAGTAGTAAAACTCTTACGTCAAGTTCACGATGATTTTTTTTTTCACCAACAATAGATCGGACGACGGATAAGGACATGATGAACCTTTTAACTTCACAGAATATTGCTTTATGCATTAGCTAATTGAACTACCAGTTTGAGATGAACTTAACTCACAAATTAAGAATGTTATATTGAGCACGACCCAAAACTATGTGTGCGGTGCGTCTCTATGAAGTATTTATCTCTCTAACTTTTTTTAGTATGTTTCTAAGCAATGACTAAAACCCAACATATTTAATGCCTTTTGAAGAATTATAAGCTATGATGGTGATTAAACGATGGTGATTAAACGAGTCACGCAAAAATTAAAATAAATACACATTTAAAAGGTCTAAAATGTGTAAATTACAGATAGAGATCCGACTTTGTTTCTCAAATTTATATCCACAAACTCCTACCAAACCTTTCCCCATCACACATT